GTGTGTGTGTGTGTGTGTGTGTGTGTGTGTGTGTGTGTGTGTGTGTGACTCTGGAGAGCGTTATTTAGGTTACGGGACAGAGAGTTGGACACCAAACAGAGTCATCGGTTGCATTGGAGAGAAGATTGAGACAGCTGAGCAAATGTTTATCTAAGATGGTCATTCAAATTCAACCTACCTCGTTATATTAACATACATTTTTATATTTCCTCCATCGAAAAGCAAACATTAAATCTAAAGAGACATTAAATCTGTCATTTATCTGTCTAAATTCGGCGGCTGCATACACATCCAGTATGTGGCCTTCAGAGGCCTGAACGCACCTCCTCCCTTAATGAGTTTACTGAGACTTCACCTCAGAGTCACCGTGACCACCTTTGAGGGCCTCGCGAATCTGACAGGCTTTTTGTGCTGTTGTGCTGTTTTTGCTATCTTTGCTATAATCCAAGATGGCGACTCGAGGCTTCATAACATCAGTCCACAAACCAGCGGGTGACGTTACGATGACTGCGTCCTCTTCTTATACACGCTCACTGGTTACAACCTGATTCTACTCTGAACATTTACTGCTCTGTCTTGTTCTTGTGTTTTATCTTTTATATAATAATTTAGCATTTCTTTATTGGCAGTCAAGGAGGAAAATGCCATTAAGGGGAGAACAAATAGAGAGAGACAGCTACGGGCCGTTTGATGTTTGCATCTCAGTCCGTCAGTTAGACGTCTGGCAGGCTTTGAGTCTCCTGCTGCTGCCGGGCTATTTCATGGCAGGAGGATGACGAGTGCTTGCACGTCTGTGCTGTACCAGTCATTGGTTCGTTTAGTCCCACAGGCTCCACATCAGATCTCGTTCCCACACAAACAGGTGCCAGGAATGGGTGTTCAATTATGAGTCAGCAGGTTATTTCCTGATGTTGCCCCATACACTTTGTGCCCACGTAAAACTAGGAAATTGTTTTGTTCCTGTTACAAATTTAGAGTCATGTACATGTAAGAAGTTACTTCATAAACCAACAGGATACTTAAACTGCTTCTTAGAAGACACACAAACAAATAACCTCAGTCAAATTTAATATCAAATAGTTAAAGACTCAACAATCCACTATTCAAGCTATCTGCACAGTGGTGTCAGGAGGCTATGGAGGGGAGTTCATCTGTATTTAGTGCAGTTGCAGCTCCTCTGCCTCTCTTTTAAAACACAGACTAATCCACTTTGGCTCTGTCACCACTGCAGCCAAACCACATCAGCCACTGAAGGCAGCGCAAAGCACATTGAGCTACTAGATATAGTATTCCCCAGTGAGGCACAGACATTTATAGAGAACATTTGGACTTTACTGTGTTTTCAAAATCGAGCAAGAATGCAGGCCAACAAGCAGACAAAGCATTTAAATATGTCTGTTACAGACAGTCAGTAACAACATACTCAATGCATGAGTATGCATGTTCCATCGCAATTAGGACCAATGCTGTGGCAGTAATTGTCTTAAAGGGACAGGTCACCACAAAATCAAAAATTCACATTTTTCCTCTTACCTGTGGTGCTATTTTCTTTTTTAACCATAGTTCCTAAATGAAACTGCTCACAATAAAGAGCTGTGGATTATCTCTGGTAACCGGGTCATTATTTTTGGAAAGAGACGTGGCTCTTGAGGTTTGAAATGTAGTTTTTTGGGGGCGTTTTGAGCACCACAAGTGCCATGTAGTCTCATTATATTGGAGAGACGGCAGACATCTCTCCCGCCGATATCTCCAAAACCCGGCAACTCACATTAAAACAATCAAGATTGATAAATAGCACTACAGTTAAGAGGGGGGAAATAGGTATTTTTGATTTTGGGGGTGAACTGTCCCTTTAAAACCTTTGTGTCAGGGAGCAGAACAAAGATGCCAAAATGTTTTCCGCTTTTTGATTTCAGCAAAATGAATTGTTTGTATCTGAGAAATCTTTACTTGGAGATTTCGACCTTAAATTTATAGCATCAATCAATGTGTCTCTGCATAGCTGCGCTTGTCTGGCAAATTATATTTAATCTGATAAAAATGATGACTACCCACTGGGAAAATCACCTCCAGACCCGACATGTCAAAGCCTCAGAATCATCTTCTCAGAAGGGATCGTCATAAAGGTCAAACGCGTTTCCTTATCAGGCAGTCGGTGTTTTTCAATCAGATCACTTGTGAGATGAAGTTCACGGTAACTTTAAAGCTGTAGAACAGGTCAGATTACTGTTTCCGCACCGGAGGAGGAAAACGTGGTGGATTGTGTTGATGTCGGTCCCCGTCTGATTGCAGGGAGGTTTGTTTGTTTGTGTTTATGACACGGTTCAGCTGTTGGTGGCCTGTTGGCACGACACCGGCATGGAAATGATCTTGTCTGTGTGCACGGCTGGCTGGTGCTTTGTCATTGATCTTACTGTCAGAATTGCTCAGATGCATCAGCTGCACTGTAATATGGAACAATGCAATATGGGATGAGTGATACTGTAATGTGGAAAATAAAGTGTGAGACCGGAAAACATTCACTTGTTCTGTGCAAATCAATCAAACGTGAACAACTCTTAAGCTGATTATTGAATGTGTTGTATGTTGTTTGATTTAAGCTCAGTGTGTCGTGTCACCAGTATACACACTGATGTATTGCTCCGCAACTCATCCGATGCTTCGTGGGCAGAAAGCTTTGTGAGTTTAATTTAGTTGTTGGCGAGATTGTATGACGTGTCTCATACATCGACAGATTGCGTGCATACAACGCAGCTTGTTTTTAAATGTGATGAAATGTTTTTCACAACGCTTTACAGCCAATTAGTTGCGTAGAGCATCAGTCTCACTGTTATTATCCTGGACAGTGTGTTTGGCTAACAGCTAACAGAATTACCAGTCCAGTAATAAATAAACACTAATACAGTAACAAGCACATCTTTAGAGTAGTATAGTTTTTAACTTTGGACAGAGCCAGGCTAGCTGTCTTTATGCTAAGCTAAGATAAGCCTGTCACTACGGTAGATCCATATTTAACCGTCAGACTACATATCAAATGCCTCATTTAACTCATAAAAATAAATTGAATAAGCCTATTTTGTAAAATATAAAATGGTTCCTTTAAATCATCAAATAATCAAAACTTTTTTGATAACAGCTATTACCATATTCTACATTTCTAACTTTACTTTTTAGATCTCAGTCCATTCCAAACATCTGAAGCTGTGCCAGATTATCTTTCCATTTCCTCATGTCTTTACAGTAATTAAGTGTAACTTCATGACAGACTCCCGCTGTGCTCAGTGGGCGACTCTGTGTACTCAACAGTGCAGAACATGTCATCCCAGAATTAACTTTGACATTGTAACTGCTTCAACAGCCATACGAAAGCCCCAAAAACGGTGTTGTTTAGCTCAGAAACATCAAGTGGTTTCTATTATTTACTATCTCGCTCAACATTTCCCAGCACTGGAGCAGCTCTAATCCCCCAACACGTTAACTGGAACTGCAGAACAAAAAAGGGGACAACAACAACAACAGAAAAAGAGGAAATCATCAGATCAGTGCAGGAAGAAATAAAGAGAAGCAGAGAGTCCTGCGGTTTTAAAGGCACATTGCTGGTTTCAGACACATCAGAGGGATCAGTCATGCAGCGTTTTTTCAGTTACAGGTGATACTTTCTGTCTGAACAGAAACTTGAGTTTCGTTGAATTAAGAGGATTCAAGTCCAAGTAGAAGTTTGGGAAATCAGCGACAGAGAATTCTCTGTAGAGCAGTTGAAGGTGTTGTACTCCTGACTTGAATCAAAGCAGTGGAGGCTTATGAGCAATAGCTGCATGTACCAGAGATGTGGTGCTGCTTTACAGATGACTGGAGATGATGACAGCATGTGCAGAGTGTAGCGTTTACATTATTTACCAGTGCTCCCTGGAGGACGTAAGAGCATTTAGCTGAATTTAAGACTCTTCAGAAGTGCCGACTCAGATCACTGACAAGTTGTAGTTCTGTACAGGAAGTGAAACGTATTTTTGTTTTGGGTGAAACGTAACGACAAACGTCTATTCTTCAATAAAACAAGTCCACAAATACCGCAGGGAGGAAAAGTAGCAAAATAAAGCAACAAAAATAAAGGGTGACTTTTATTGTGAAGAATTTATAGGAAATAAAATGTCCTTATCCACCGTTGGACAGCCGCTCCCTTGACCTCGAAATATATATGACCACTATCCAATCAGACAAGCCGATTTGAAGTGTCAAGTGTGGACACAACTGAGTTCTGTACTCACACCTAATGAGTTATCACGTCTAACAGTGTTCAAGGTTTTCACATTCTCCTTTAAGGACTGTTCAAATATCTTAAGAACAGATATCAGAGGTGCAAAACGTGGTAATGGGCAAACGTGGGAAACCGGGGGCAAGACAAACGGGCGGGTAGAACACAAACAATGATCTGGCAGTGTGTGACTGGGAGGCAGGGGTTTAAATAGTGGCTAGAACAGGTGAGGAGAGTTGTGCTGATGAAGGAGTGCTTGATTAGTGATCAGGGGCAGGTGAAGGGAGTTAGACTGGTACTGAGGGAGTTAGACTGGTACTGAGGGAGTGGCTGACAGGTAGGGTGAGGAACTACAGAAAGAAACACACAGAACACAAAGCCTGATCGTGACAATTTCCAAGGAAACTTATAACATATTTCTGGTAAGCACAATATCTAAAGTGGTCTAAATGATTCTTTTTGGGGAAAGTTTTTGATTACATCAGCTAATCTATTAGACTACAAATCAGTATGACTGATAGTCGACTAAGACTTTTTTAAATCTCGAGACTTAAAAAGGCTGCGAGACTGATGGCAATGACCAATCCAAAAGGAAAGGAGATGTTCCACATGTTAGAAAGTAATACTAAATAAATTAAATGTTAATATAAAGAAATTAGACTTTGGTTGTCTGGTTAGAATGTTATGGGGCTCCTCAGAATCCTGAATCTTTACATCGTTTATACAACCCGTTTACACCTTCATTAAACTTCAAGAGATAAAAAGACGTTTGTCCTGCTCTGATGTTGGTGTCACATACATTATTTTTGTCGGTTTTGAAAAGTCATGCATCTGACTTCCTGAAACCTGCTTTCACCCGAGTGTTCACATGACACAGCATGTTCACGTGATGCAGCTTCCCTTTAGCAAAGTAGGAGTGAAGAAAATAGTGCTTCTAAATAAGTGGTGATTGAGAAAGCCACGTTCACACGGCCTCAGATATTTATACCCAGGGGCGTGTCTAGGATTCAAAGAAAGGGGGGGCTTAGCCCCAAGGGGAGGGGCATGTTTGCGTGCTATGCATGCAGCAATTCTTTTTGGGGCCCATTTGGGGCCGCGGATATCCATTGTTTCAGACAGTTCATAGATTGGTTCAATCAGAAAGAGTGTGATTTTGCCTCTGTAGTTTTGCTTGCATTCAGTATATGATAACACAAGAGACAGAATTTGAGTTTCATAGTGAAATTTGACAACACAAATATGAACTTTTCTCAAATAAAGAGAGAGAAATAATTTTCCTGCTTGTAAAGGAAAGACGGATAAACTAGCTTTCATATCCGCGTCACTCCCAAATCCTAATTCTTAAAGGGACCGCACACAATGGATGGAGAATGGACCTGACAGTGTCAACTTTTGAGTTGTTTACTTGTTTTATTATGAGCAGAAGGGAATAAGATTTTGATCAACATTTACATCTATTTTGTTGTCCGTGTAGTTTTTACATACCAGTGATATTTTATGCTCATTTGGACACTAACACTGAGATAAAGATGAACTAGTTCAGTGTCAAATATACCATTCAATGGAAAAAAAACATGCACGCAGCAGCCTCCCCAAGGTCCTAGTGCCCGGGGTTTATATCGTTAAGTATGATGATAGGCTGTTGGATTGTAATTTGAAGGGGGAGAAAACATACAAACCAGAACGCACGCACATATGTAGCATGTTAGAGTTATAAATAACTTGTCCATGTGAGAAACAATAGTTTAATTTAATGACATTTATTAAAGCCAATAATGCCAAATTATTTGGGGGGTCTGAAGAACATTTTAGGGGGGCTTCAGCCCCCCTACAAGAGGCCTAACGACGCCCCTCAGCCTCGCTGTCTGTTGGTGTCTGTAGCTCCGCGCATGTGTGTGTGTGTGTGTGTCAGTGAGCTGGAGAAAGAGAGCAGACAGGAAGTGATTCTGATTGGCTGTGAGCTGCAGCAGTGCCTCGATGCCATTCGCTCGGTCGGGTGGTGCTGTCTCTGACTCATTTCCCGCGGGAGGGAAGGAAACCCTCCAGTCAGCTCTGCAGCCAGCCTCCCTCTCAGATAATTGATGCATCTCATGGTGTGTGTGTGTGTGTGTGTGTGTGTGTGTGTGTGTGTGTGTGTGTGTGTGTGTGTGTGTGTGTGTGTGTGTGTGTGTGTGTGTGTGTGTGTGTGTGTGTGTGTGTGTGTGTGTGTGTGTGTGTGTGTGTGTGTGTGTGTGTGTGTGTGT